AAAAATTCCTCAATTTTTGTTTGAGAAAGTTCATCTCCCCTCAGTTTTAAAGAACAGTTTTACGAGGTATAATATATTTGATGGGTAGTTTTTCTTTTCTTTCAGTACTTTGACTATATCACCCCATTCTGTCCTAGAGTGCAATATTTCTGGTTAGAAATTCACTGATACCCTTGTTTTTTTTGTTTTTGTTTTTTAATTTCAGGTTTGTATTTAAATTCCAATTAGTTAACATACAGTGTAATATTAATGTGAGGTGTAAAATGTAGTGATTCATCACTTACCTACAACACCCAGTTTTCATCACAATCAGTGCCCTCCATAATACTCATCACCCATTTAAACCATCTCCACCCACCACCCCTCCAGCAATCCTCAGTTGTTCTCTATAGTTAAGAGTCTGTTTTATGATTTGCTTCTCTCTTGAAATCCACTGATAGTCTTATAGGATTTCCCTTATATGTACTCTTATGCTATATTCAAAATTCTTTGTCTTTTTATTTTTGTCTATTCAATTTTAATGTCTTAATATAGACCTTTTTAGGTTCAATCTATTTGGAACCTTTGGGGAGCTAGAAATTTGGATATCCATTTCCCTCTCCAGATTTGGGAAGTTTTTAGCCTTTATTTCTTTAAATGTTCTTTCTGTCCTTTCCTCTTTCTCTTCTTCTAATTGTATAATTGATGTTATTATGTAAGTACTATAGATTTTCTTCACTCTTTTAAACTTTTTTTCCATTGTGTAGTTTGGATAATTTCAAATATTCTGCTTAATTGGGTCTGCTGTTGTAGCTCTCTAATGTATTTTTCGGTATAGTCATTGTGTTCTTTAGCTCCAGAAGTTCTGTTTGATACTTTTATATGATTTCTATCTCTTGTTGATTTCTTATTTTGTCTATGTATTATTCTCCTGATTTTATTTAGTTGTCTATTTATGTTCTTTTATAGTTCATTGAGCTTCTTTGAAATGATTATTTTGATATTTTGTCATGTAGTTTGTAAAGCTCCATTTCCTTTGTTTTGTTTACTGGACTTTGTTTTTTTTTTCCTTTGGTGGTATCATGTTTCCTTGATTCTTCATGATTCTTATAACCTTGAATTGATTCCTGTGAATTTGAAGTAGTCACCTCTTACCACTTTTACATCCTGGCTTCATTAGGAAAGTTCACCAGTCACCCTGGCCAGAGATTCTGAATGGCTGGCTGCTAAGTTCTGTGGGAACCTGGTATCTGTGTCCATGGAGGTCTGCCTGTTGCTTGCATCCACTGATGTAGGCCTGTCACCTGGGTCCCCAGGAACAAGGCTGTATCCTAGGTCTCTGAAGGAAGAGACTTGATCCTGGGTCCATGGGGTCTAGCCTGGCTCTGAATTGTATTTGGGCAGGCCTGGAACTTGGTACATGTGTGCTAGGCTGGAAACTAGTTCCATGATAGCTAATATAGAGTCTGGAGTCCACAGGAATGAGCCTGGAGAATGAGTCTATGGGTACTAGCCTGGAGTCTTGTTCCATGGAGGCTGTCCTTGAGCCTGAGTTCTTAGGATGGGCCTGTAGTCCGAGTCTACAAAGGTTGACTTGGCACCAGGGTCTATAGGTCAGACCTAAAGCTGGTGTCTGTGGGGTGAGTTTCAGGACTAGGTACAAAAGGGTGGATCAGTAGCATGCATTTTCAGGAGCCAATTTGGCACCAGGGACACTGGAGCCTGGGTCCATGGGTCTGTCTAGTGCTTGGGTCTGCAGAGGAAGTCCTGGAGCCTGGATCCATTGGGGCAATCTGGCATGTGGGTCTGCAGATACTGTCTTGGTGTGGGATAGATCTGGATATAGTCCATAGAGGCTGCTTTGGCACCAGGGTCCACTGCACTTGGTTTTTCACCTAAGTCACAGGGGTGGTCTTGGATCCCAATGCTTAGGTCCATGGAAGCAGGCCCAGAGTCTGGGTCTGTGGGTACCAGTTTGTCACCAACTTCCAATAGTGCAGTCTTTGAGACTAGATTAATAGTGCCTGCTTAGAGCCTGTGTCATTGGAGACCATCTTCATACCAAGGAACACTTGGGTGAACCTGGAGTCCAGGCCTGCAAAGGCAGACCTAGAGCTTGAATATGCTGAGGTTGGCCTGGTACTGGGATCTTTGGAGGTGGGCCTGGAGCCTGGATCCAAAGGGGACAGCCTGGTACCAGGTCTCACTTTAACAGGTCTGATGCCAGGGGCTGTAGTGACGTAAACACTCACTTCATTTTTTATTCCCCCAGAGGAGCTCTTGAATAAAGGGGAACCTCTCTTGACATAGTACTGCATAGGCTTGGGGAAAGGGTGACATGGGTTAAGTGAGACTATCTGGCTTCCCCTTTTTAGTGTGTCTTTTCTTTTTTCTGTGCTCTATCTAGGTGCTGTAATTTCTCACCTAGATTTCAGAAGGTATTTATTTATGGATGGTTGTCAAATCATTGTTTCTATGAATGGACAAGTTCTGGAACCTCCTATTATGCTATCTAATAGATATTGCTTTCTAATATTTAATTTTTATTCTTAGAATTTACATCTTTTTCTTATATTGCCCATCTTTTCTTGCATGTTCTCTACTTTTTCTATTAGAGTCCTTTGTATATTAATCACAGTTGTTTTACAAGATGGGATCGGGAGGGAGACAAACCATAAGAGACTCTTAATGTCACAAAACAAACTGAGGGCTGCCGGGGGGCAGTGGGGAGGGAGGTAGGGAGAGAGTGGTTGGGTTATGGACATTGGGGAAGGTATGTGCTATGGTGAGTGCTGTGAAGTGTGTAAACCTTGCTATTCACAGACCTGTACCCCTGGGGCTAATAATACATTATACATTAATAAAAAATAAAAAAAATTATTTAAAAAATCATAGTTGTTTTAAATTCCTAGTCTGATAATTCCAACATCCCTGCCATCTCTAAGTCTGGTTCTGATGCATTTTGTCTATTTAACTATTTTTTTAATCTTTTACTGTGCCTTGTAATTTTTGTTGTAAGTCAGACATGATATACTGGGAAGAGGAATCCTAGTGAAAAGGTCTTTAATGATGTGATAGTAAGGTGTAAGGGAGAGGGAAGAGTTTGATAGTTTTATTAGTACATCTAACTCTATTTGTGAGCCTATGTCCCGCACTGTCACCTTTACCAGTGTTTCTCATATGCCCCCCCACTTCTCTGGCACTAGATGTCTAGGGTGGCCTGGAGTTGGATATTTCCATCCGCTCAGGTGGAAGGCCAGAGATACTAGAGTTCTCTATTTCCCATTACCCAATTTGGTTAGGCTCTAATAAAACTCCAGCCGGTTTGGCTCTGGTAAAATAGGTTGTCTTGAGGGCAGGCCTTTTAAGGAACAGACTGGTCTGGTGTATCTCAAAGTGGTTATTTTTCTTCTCTTCTTTTGGGAAAACAGGAGTGTATTTTCTTCAGTATTCTCTGTGAGAACCTGGAAGAGCTCCCTGAAGCAAAACTCACAAAAGTATGGGAGATTCATTATGACTGGGCACCCTCCTCTCGATGATTAATGTGGAAAGGCTTTTCTGCCAGCCTGAAATCATTTTTTTGTGTTGGTTATACTGATATGGCTGTTATGTAGATACATCCTTGGATGGAATGAGTTTAGGATCCTCCTACTCTGCCATCTTCCCAGAAATCCAACATAAATCAATCTTGTTTTAAGGATAACTACCCTAAGTATGACTTTATAGCCACAAAAATGAGGGAAAAATCATTAAAAATTAACTAAATAATTATTTAAAATTTCTGTACACAGAATTATGAAAAGCAAAATTAAAAAGAAATGACAATTAAAAAAAACACGTTACTGTCAACAGGTTTTTTTTTTTTTTTTAAAGATTTTATTTATTTATTTGACAGACAGAGATTACAAGTAGGCAGAGAGGCAGGCAGAGAGAGAGGAGGAAGCAGACTCCCTGCTGAGCAGAGAGCCCCATGCGGTGCTCGATCCCAGGACCCTGAGATCATGACCTGAGCCGAAGGCAGCGGCTTAACCCACTGAGCCACCCAGGTGCCCCCAACAGGTTTTATCCTTATATGTAATTCATATAAGTCTGTCTATAAAAATATTTAATGTTCATATTTAGATTATTTTTTAATAAAAATATATTAAAAGAAGTTAGAAAAAAATTTTCCTTCAACAGAAAAAATAGATGGCATATATTTTTTACTTGTTAATCGTGTACATTTATACTAATAATGAAATAAATTCCATTAAAATAATTTATAAAATACCAAGTACCTAAAGTATATAATATCAATTGGGAAAAGTGTGAGAAAACAGCTGTCAATATTACAGGTAAACAGGCATAATGACTAAACATTTTTAGGAAAGCTATGTGAAAATATGTATAAATTATAATAAAAATATACTAATAGATATCAGTGACATTGGAAATGTGTAGTCCCTTTGACCCAGGTATGTTTTTTCATTTTTAAAAATTTAATATTTTGTAATAAAAAATCTACATGACAAATCTATTCTGACAAACCTATATGTATGTTAGCTGAAATTTTTTAAATTTATGTTTTAAATATTACTAACTTTACCAGACCTTCATAATTATTAAATGGTAATTAGTCACTTTTTAAATCTTGTTACAATTTTAAAAGGACTGTCTATTGGTGCTTCATTATAATCAAGATGTTAGGTGTTGGATGGAGCTAGAAACATATTCTATAATAAAAAGTAAATGTCTAGGAGGAATAGATATTGAAATTTGTCAAGTGAAACTTCTAGTATTATTATTTTTTCTCTCTTTACTTGATATATATATGTATATATATATCATATATGTTATATATGATATATATGATATACACACACACATATATATATATACCAAATATATAGAATATTTTCCCAAGCTTCAAATATTATACTCTTCTAGGAAATAGGCCACAATAGGTAGATTTCAAGTGTTTCTGTATTTAATTTACTAAAAGGTTCTTTTTCATTTTCATCTTGGTAGATCAGGATATGGATGAACCCTCAGGTTTTACACTTGAAAATCTAGAACTTGCTTCAGGATACAAGGATCAACATCAAACAAGTGGAGTTTACCAATCTCAAAGATCGAGTGGTAGGTATAATATTTGAAAACGTATTTTAAAATAGTAGTCATGAAACACTTGATGATTTAAAAATCATCTGAAATGTGATCAGCCTTTTAAGAAATTATTTATTCTTTTTGTATAATCTCTACACACACTGTGGGGCTTGAACTCATGCTTCTGAGATCAAGAGTTGCATGCCCTACTGACTCAGCCAGCCAGGTACCCCAAATATGATCAACTTTATTTATGGTTTTATTGTTAAATTTTTCTTTAGGTTGCATATTTTAGAACATTATCTGCCAAAATTAGGATTCTACAGAACTGGTAAATGCTATAATGCTATTTTCACTATTCATTACTTCTCACAGTCCTTAATATTCTTAATTGTTATACTGTATGTCTTAAGTTTATTGACCAAGAAAACCTATCTTTTTCATCATCTTGGAATAATGTTTCTGGGAAATGAAATACTTGTTTAGGAAACACTTGTCTAGGAATTTTATTTTTTTATTTTTTAAAAAATTTTATTTTAAGGGAGGAGGCAAGATAGTGGAAGCATAGGGGACCTCGTTTCATCTAGTAATTTGATTTTAACTAGATAACTATCAGATCATTCTGAACACCCAAGAATTCAATCTGAGATGTAAGAAAAGAATATCTGGAACTCTGCAACTAGAAAAGCAACCATTTTTTGCAAGGTAGGAGGTGCAGAGTAGTGAATCCAAGGGGAGATACTGGAAGATAAGCAGTGAGGAGAGAGAGAGCCTTATCAGCCAGCTACCAGAAAGTGATATTGCCCTGAAGGACAAAACTGGAGCCCTTAGAAATCTCTAGTGAGAGATATCCCTGCCTGAAAGGTGCTCAGAGGATGAAATGGGCAGAATTCTAGGTAGGGCAGTGTGGTCTCAGGATCCATAGAGTCACAGAAGAAGCAGGGATAACTGAGCTGATACAGTTCCCAAGCAGTGGACTGGGGAAACTGGTTATGGTCAGTGAACCCACAGAGGGGCTTTTTGCTCAGTTTGCCATAAACCACTAGCTGGCACCTGATCTGTGTGACTGCTGTCCTTTGGGGGAACCTGCAGAGAACTAGAATTCAGGGACCCTCCTACATCCCTTGGAAGGGGCAGAACAGGTAGAGGAAAGTATCCTGTGATTCTCTGCCTTCCCCCCCAGGAGGGGCCAATCAGGTTTGCACAGGACCTGGCAACCCTCTCAGGGCCAGGGACTTACAAAGTACAGTAATGCAAGACCCTCCAACTTCTCCCAGAGGATCACTGTGGACACACACTACAGGGATCTGCAGAGTTTGGCACACACAAAAGTGAAGACTGCTTGTCCCTGAAGTTCACTGAAGAGAAGGGACCACAATCTTATAGCTTTGAGGTTGGAGGTCAGGGTGTGGCCATTTTTATTTTGATCCTCTAAAGAGGTGCAGAAAGCCTTCAGGGGTAAAACAAACAAACAAACAAACAAACAAACCACACAGGAATAGCTACACTGAGCCTGGCCCCCTCACAAGGAACTGTGTAATTCTAACCAGGCACACACCTGAGAAACAGCAGGTAGGCCCCACCCCCAGAAGATCAGCTGAAAGAACAGATACACAGCAAGACCTCACAAGACTGTAAAACTCCAGCACTAGTGGAAAATAGTATATAGAATTAAAGGGTTTTTTTTTCCTCAAAAGTCATTTATCTTTCAGTTTAAATTACCATTTCCACTAGTTTCAGATTTTATCAACTCTGTTTTTAAGTCCTTTTTTAACGTTAATTTTTTACATTTACATTTTGTAGATATATCTTTCATTTTGGCTTCCTATCACTCTATTCAATTTAATTTTTGTACATCTATAAGTTTTGTTTTCTTGACAATTTTGGGATTAGTGTCTTCTAACACACAGACCAAAGTACACCCATGATCAACTGGATCACCCTGTTTTGTCTACCCTGTGAGATTATATTCTCTCCCCCTCCTTTTTTCTTTTCTTTTTTGGTGTCTGACCTCTTCAAGTTTGTCTGCTATGTATTTTGCTTGGGTTGTGGTTGATATTTCTGCTCACTTATTCATCCATTCTTCTCTGGGTAAAATGACCAGAAGGAAGAATTCACAACAAAAGAAAGAACCAAAAGTAATATTATCTTCCATAGATCTAATTGATATGGATATAAGTAAAACATCAGAAATAGAATTCAGGATAACAATTATAAAATTAGAATAGATAAAGAAGATGTGAGATATATAGATAGATAGATGATAGATAGATATAATGGAATAGAATGCAGCCATCAAAAAATGTCATTTGCAACCACACGGATGGAACTACAGGGTATTATGCTAAGCAAAATAAGTCAATCAGAGAAGGAAAATTATATGGTATCATGGATATGAGGATTTTGAGAAAAGGCAGAGGATCATAGGGAAAGGAGAGAAAATTAAAACAATACAAAACAACAAGAGAGGGAGACAAACCATAAGAGACTCTTAATCTCAGGAAACAAACTGAGGGTTGCTGGAAGACAGGGATCGGGTGGCTGAGTGATGAGCATTGGGCAAGTTGTGTGCTATGGTGAGTGTCATGAATTATCTAAGACTGATGAATCACAGACCTGTACCTCTGAAACAAATAATACATTATATGTTAAAAAAAATTACTAGTTGGACTTGAAAAAAGCAAAAAGACACTAAAGAATCTCTTAGTACAGAAATGAAATCTAATCAGGCTGAAATTAAAAATGCTCTGAGATGTAGTCTAAATTGGATGCCCTAACAGTCAGGGTAAATGAGGCAGAAGAGAGAGTAAAATGACATAGGAGACAAGTTGATGGACAAGAAGGAAGCTGAAAAAAAGAGAGAAAAACAACTAATAGGCTGTGAAGAGGGACTTCAAAAAATCAGTGATGCTACAAAACATACCAACATAAGAATTGTTGGGAAGGGGTTGCTCAGGGGAAAGAGAGAGAAAGGGCAAGTACATGCATTTAAGAAAATCATATCTGAGAACTTCCCTAATCGGGGCATTCGTGTTCAAGAGGTAGAGAGGACCCCTCCCAAAAATCAATAAAAATAGGTCAACACCCTGACATATAATAATGAAGCTTTCAAATTTTAGAGATAAAGAGAAAATCCTGAAAACAGTTTGAGACGGGAAGTTCCTAACCAGAGAAGTAGAAACATTAGATTTCCATCAGACCTATCCACAGAAGGAGGCAGGCCAGAAAGGGCTGGCATGTTGTATTCGGGGTATTAAATGAGAAAAACATGCAGCCAAGAATACTTTATCCAGCAAGGCTGTTGTTCAGAATGGAAGGAGAAATAAAGAACTTCCAGGACAGACAGAAACTGAAAGAATATGTACCCACCAAGACAGCTCTGCAAGATATATTTAAGGGGATCCTGTAAGCAAACAGAGAGCCCAAGAGTAATGTAAACCAGACAGAAACAGAGACAATTTACAGAAACAGGGACTTTACAGGTAATGCAGTGGCACTAAATTCATATCTTTCAATAGTTATTCTGAATGTAAATGGGCTAAATGCTCCAGTCTAAAGACATGGGGTATCAGATTAGATAAAAAAGCAATATCCATCCATATGCTGTCTACAGCAGACCCATTTTAGACCTAGAGACATCTCTAGATTGAAAGTGAGGGAATAGAGAATCATTTATCATGCTAATGGACCACAAAAGAAAGCTAGAGTAGTCATCCTTATATCAGACATATTAGATTTTAAACCGAAGATAGTTGTAAGGGATGAAGAGGGACACTATATCATAGTTTAAGGGCCTACGCAACAAGAAGATCTAACAATTACAAATATTATGCTCCTAACTTGGGAGCAGCCAATTATATGAACCAATTAATAACCAAATTAAAGAAACATATAGATAATAATATAAAAATACTAGGGGACTTCAACACCTCATACACAGCAATGAAGAAATCATCTAAGCAGAAAATCAACAAGGAAACAAGAGCTTTGAATGATGCATTGGATCAAATGGACTTTGTAGATACATAGAGAACATTCTATCCTAAAACAACAGAATACTCATTCCTCTCGAGTACACATGGAATATTCTCCAAAATAGACTATATACTGGGTCACAAATCAGGTCTCAGCCAATACTAAAAGATTGAGATTATGTCCTGCATGTTATCAGACCACAATGCCTTGAAACTGGAACTCAATCACAAGAAGAAAACTGGAAGGAATTCAAATACTTGGAAGTCCAAGAGTATGGACTGCTAAAGAATGAATGAGTAAACCAGGAAATTAAAGAAGAATTTAAATCTTTGAAACCAATGTGAACAAGAACACATTGATTCAACCATTGTGATGGTGCAAAGGCAGTCCTTAAGGGGGAAATACATAACCATCTAAGCTTCTCAAAAAATTAGAAAATCCCAAATGCACAAGCTAACCCTACACAAAGAAACCAGAGAAAAAATAGCAAATAAAACCTAAACCAAGCAGGAGAAGAGAACTAATAAAGACTAGAACAGAGATCAATGAAATAGAAACTAGAAAAACAGTAAAGCAGATCAATGAAAGTGAAGGTGATTCTTTGAATCACTAAGATCAATAAACCACTGGCAAAACTTATCCAAAATAAAAAAGGATCTAAATTAATAAAATCATGAATGAAAGGGGAACGATCACAACTAACATGAAGGAAATAGAAACAATTCTTAGAAATTATTACCAGCAACCATATACCAACAAATTAAGCAACGTGGAAGAAATGGATGCCTTCCTGGAAACTTACAAACTACCAAGACTGAAACAGGAAGAAATAGACAATCTAAATAGACCAATAACCGGTAATTAAATTTAAGCAGTAATCAAAAACCTCCCCAAAACAAAAGTCTCGGGCCGGGTGGCTATCCAGTGGAATTCTACCAAACATTTAAAGAAGAAATAATATCTATTCTCCTGAAGTAGATATTTAAAAAAAAAAACAAAAAAAACAGAAACAGAAAGATAACTTCCAAACTCTTGCTAGGAGGCCAGGATGACCCTGA